GTTCTAATGCTGTTTTTCTCTGCAGAACGAAATGTTACCTTGAAACCGTGCTGATGATGCGAAAGAGTAGGGGAGCCGCCATCGCTGCTTCTCGGTGGATGAAAGTTTCCAGAGCTATCATGCACAGCGACAACGTCTCTTCGTCGAAGCTTTCGAGCATCTCGTTACAGTATCCACAACGATATTTACTTCGATCCACAACCACACCACCTCCTACTGTCACTTTCATTATATGCAAATTACAGTTTAGTTCTCACTTCCTGAAGTTAAATTACACGATGCGTGTCGGTGTCAATAGTTATAAACCTGTACAAAATACGGCAACGGATCGCGCATTGCCATACACACTCATATAAAGCTCAACAGATTTATGAAACCGAACCATAGTTCGTCTTACTGCATTACATTCGTCATTTTAATTTAATATTTACGAATTAAATGCAAAATTCTTGTGATACAGGCATCCCAGTTCGGAAACACTGCGACACTCAAATTTGAGCGATTTTTCCGCAAAAGCACTTTTTCCCATCCTCCTGAGATTTAACGCCCTAACTCGTTGTTCTCAAAAAATCAGCGCCTAAATCTACACTTTGACAGCCTTACGGCTTCTATAATTTTTCTTTAGATTCAATAGCGTTGGAAACGCCACGAATGATTTCTCTCCAGCATACGCCCTCGACCAGAATAGCTTCCATAGGGAAGCATGAGAGAAATGGCCAGAGAGATCCACTTCACATTGAAGCAAACGTGTCATATTTAGGGGAAGTGAAGGCGAAAAGCTTAAATCGGGAAGTCAGGACCATCGACATACCGATCGCCATGTGATGCAACTTCTGTTACAGCAACCAGGCTTAGTAACCAGCAGCACCGATGAAACAAATATGCGCCACAACGGATAGGCAGCTAATTCTGCAAATCCAAATACTGGCGCCCCGTGGTAACAGCCAACCCTCCATTACTCGTACTTTCATCTCGCCTAGCTTAGTTCCACTTACCTAATACAAATACACCCAGTACGCGCATACCCAGTACACGCACATACAGTACACGCACTTTCAGCGCGCGGTATATCCAGTAAACGAACATCCAGTGCACGTACATTGATAAAGGACGAGATAGTCTTTGCTTGCACTGTATCAAACCAATTCCTATATTATTTTTTAGCGACTGGAGTGACTACAGCATCAGCTTACTCTGTTATCTAAGCATTATCATGAAAGCATACTTTTTTTATAGCGTCGTCTTAGTCGGCTTTTTCGCTCCTTCATTTCATCGGCTCCTTCTTCAGTAATCGCTTCCAGCTTTCCCTCACTTACCTAAATATAACTAATAAAGAGGGAATACGATATGAGTAACATAGTCTCAGACTTCCTCTTGCTTTAGGAGCAGATACGGCCATGAATAACAGTGACGAACATAGAATCAAGTTATGAGAAGCATAGCTAAAACGTCAGGAAAAAGCCCAGATTTTTCGATTTTGCACATCCTATGAGAAATGCATGTGTTTTAGAAGCAATCGCAGTACGACATGCTGCTAGCAGCAAGTCCTCGCACAAGGTCTGCATGGGAGAAGCCACTGGCAAGTTTCGTTTCTTAACACGTGTCGGTGCCAATTTACTGCTGAAACGATTAACCAGCTATAAAATGATTGATTTATGTAGTAGTAGAGCCGAAAGATTGGAGATTTGGCGAAAGTAACACTACTTATCGAAACACAGCTCATAAATTTGATACTGTCATTAGCAAAACTTACTGAATTTTGAATACTACACGCACTAAAATTTGCTATATAAAATTCTGTATTCAGTACATACATCGACGACGGTGATTGTTTGAGAGGATATTACGGAAAGTGTTTCCGGCCGATGTAGTAGTTTCTCGGCAGAACTGTCGCCCTCTAAATCGTCTTCATCTGAACTGCCTTCCGAGATCGGCTCCAATTCAATTTTGGCCGGTGGCATTTTCGTGTTACAAATGTGAAACTGAAAATGTATAATAAAAATGCTATTGTTACAACTGTTTTTAAAGTTAAAAAATGCTTTACTTACTTCTGCTTCCAGCGTACAAATTACTATCGAAATAAGTTTTCGGATGTATTCGCTGAGTGGCGGCGTATCATATCGGTACTGCAATTTCTTCACGTTCATTTGCATGTCAAAACAGGAAAAAGCTAAGGAAATGGACAAATAATTAAGGATGTGGTAAGAAAATAACTATTCCCAGACTGTACCAAATTTTACGCCCACTTAAATATTAAGTGCGGTAAAAAGTATGAAACAATTCATCACGAAAAGTAACAAATAAAGAGTTGATAAAAGCGACTAGCCTTGTAAAGAATCAGAATGATGCTGTTGAGCCAGAAATGACGCGCATTGATGTCCAACAGCGCCAGTGAATATTCCCCTACCTGCTGGTCGCTCGCCAGCTTCTGTGGTGAAGGCAAATGGAGCAATAGTTGTACACCAAGCATTACAATCTGCAGATTTCTTTTTTATCTTCAAAGCCAGCCCTTTTTGTTTTTGCAGTCGCTGGAGAAAAGTGTCTGTATGGGATTCAAGAACAACGGAAGGTAGAAAGCCGAAAAACTCGGAGCAGACTTTCTGCCGATCATGATCAAATTTTCTTTTGTCTATGATATGCTGCAAATCGAGTTCTCGATCTCCTAGACTTAAGACC